TCTTCGCTAGTTGCTCTGTACAGACAACAGCAGCACAAGTTGAAACATCCATTATAACATGACTATAACCCCATATTTTTCAAGGATATCATATAATCAAGCCAGAAGAATGAGAGAACCAGAGGAATGATCACCTTCGAGAGAAATTGAAAGGGGAAAGATGACCAGATGTCTCTCTAGCAGCCCAGCCAAAGGCTTTCACAGGATGCTCTTCTTCTGGTAACTTGGCCATTTTGTACAGAAGGTTTTCACACAGGAGGAAAAGGAGGAGCGAGATGAAGTGGGTATTGCCAATAATGTTTTTGCCTTGTCCATGAATAATTTGGCTTGCAATTTATCGAAGTGGGTAAGCAAAATTGTTGAAGTATGCCGGCCATTTTATCTCTTGGTTATGATGTCGTGTCAAATAGTATCCAATATGATTTTTTAAATTTGTCTCTAGGATATTGCATGGAATAATTAGATAACTAGATTCCACAAGTTCTAAGTTGCGCAAGTAGCCTTCTATGTGTTGTTAAAAGAAATCTTATTTTTCATGTATTATTAAAGGAAATCTTATCTTACGGTGAGAAGTTTTTCAAATTTTATAAGTAACATTTTTTAAATTTTTTTCTCTAATTTCTCATATTTGAGAAATTTCAAGTAGAGTAATTGATTGGTTCCCATACGACGTTTTTCATTAGACTTGACTTCGAGTCCTCTCTATTCTCCCATCTTCCATAATATAACTCTGTTTAAAAAAAAAAAAAAATTCCCATATTCAAAAAAGAAAAAGAAAAACAAAAATAAATGATCAGATTCTCTCCATTTCCATCAGCCGGGGGCTAGCCCGGTTAGTCACGTTAATTGTGCCAAATAAACGGATTAATCACAGATATTATGTCATGTCAATATAATCACATAACTAACACACACCATATTTTACGGATATTTCCTCAGTTTGGATTGGAAAACTACCTCATATAATATTATTTTCACTATATATAAAATTATTGTAATAATAATTTTTTTTTTAATTTTTAAATAAATACTCATTGAACTTTAAAAAAATTCTCAATAAACATCTAATGAATTTTAAAAAATTTTAAATAAATACCTAATAAATTTAAAAAAAAAAACGTTCATTACTTATTAGAAAGTAGTTCAAATCTAACGTATCAATATTGAAACATATCAAACCTTATTGAGATTTATTAAACAAAATTTAGAATATATTTGGGATTATTGTAAAGTGCTATGATTATGATTCTAACTGTTCTGAATTATATTATACTGTAACTGTTGTTGAAAGTTATTTCAATATTTGGTTATTTATTTTTTAAAAGTATTATGGATGAAATATGATACATTTTATTAATT